GAAGGTCGGACTCCTCTCCGCGTCCGACTGGCCTCCTCCAGCTTCCTTTGGGGCCAGACTCGGAGCAATGTCATTGCACCCCTCCGCCTGGAAATGGGTCCCTTAATTTCTGCTTCGTTACCCTGGCTCGTTTGGGTGCTCTCAGCTCCGAAGCAGCTCCTGGGGCTGCCTGAGCACACCGTGCCAGCCGCCAGCACTGCCTCCCCAGCCGTGGGGTTTCTCTCCGGTCCCCACCTCATCTTCTCTTGAACCAAACTTATGCCTCTCGTTTCCACCCTCGTCACCGGGAATTCCCCCGGCAGTGTTTGGGCTGAAGTTGCTCACCTCCGCCGTTGCAGCAGAGCCCTGGGAACCACCAGCGCTGTGGGACAGGAGGGATCACGCTGCTCCAGCCCCACACCAGCACCCTCCTGCCCACGAGCCCCATCCCCGTGGCCAAACCTCCCCCCCCAGGGGAATGTGGGGGTTCCTGTGGGGAAGCCTCTGGTCCCGGGACTTCCCATGCACTCACAGAGTGACCTGGGAGCGTGCACACACTGATGGGGACACGTACAGTCATGGGGACAGGGGACACGTGGAGCCGAAGGACCAAATGGGTGACAGAGCCACGTCCCATCCCTGGGACCTTGAGCTTCCCAGCCTGGCTGTGGCACAAGGGATGCTTCCCGGGGGGGACACACGGGGTGCAAGAGCTCCCACCCTGGCTGTGAGTGGCTCTGGGCATCAGCGTGGGATGTCCTCGCTGGTAGCCAGCATGCCTGGGAGCTGGGGGACGGATCCGGCCCTCCAGCCCTCCCTCGTACTCCTGTCAGGAAACAGGCTGGGCAAAAATCCTCCTCCTCCCCGCTTCTGCCTGATTTTTCCCTGCCCTGCCCAGGGCTGCTCGGGGACCTGCTTCCCACCCTGCTAACCTCGCCCTGGGATCCATCCAGCACCATCTGCCGCTTGGAAAAACCCTGCTCCCTAAGCTGCTTTAATCCCCAAATCCTATCTGTGTCCCACAGTCGGCGTGAGCCGCCAGCGACGAGCATCTCCCCCGGCTCCCGCAGCCCACGCTCCCCGGCAGCCCACGGCCACGCTCGCTGCGGCTCTCCCGGCTTTTCCCTGCCCATGGTGTCGGGGTTGGCTAGGTGCTGGACAGGATCTGGCCAGCCCAGCCCCTGCGCTGCGGAAAAATGCAAAATACTTGGAGACGAGAGGGAAGAAAATCAATAAATGATGCCCGACGCTTCCGCCTCCCTGCCCTCCTCTCTGCCCCAGGGAGCGGAGCGAGCTCTGCAGCCAGGGCAGAAGGCTGGAGAGCAGGATGCGGCCCAGGATCAGGAGGCAGCAGAGGGGAGAGAACCCCCAGGGCTGGGAGCTGGGAGGGGCAGCTGGCAGGAGAAAAAAAGGGAGCGAGAGGCTGGGGAGAGGTGGGAGAGGAGATGGGGGGAACAAACCGGCGGCAAAAGAGCCGAAATCTGGAGCAGACAGACTCTGCGGCTCAGGAAGCCGGGGCCACA